GATTCCTTTGGCCGTCGCCACCGGATTTCTGATTCTCGGGACGGCCCAAGGCGCGTTCGAGGGGGCCTTTCGGATAGCGCGTCAGCGGTGACGTCACTGTTGGTGCCTCTGATATCGAGCGCACCGTAATCGTAACCGTTTCTACGGAATCGCCTCTTTGATTATCAACGTTTGCTTCGAGAAATTTGCTTGTGATAATCATTGACGCGCCAGGTGGGGGAGGAAGGGGCGGTACCTCCTCCACCCTCTCACCCTTCTTCACCTGGAGAGTCGGGAGTGGAGGCCAGTGTGGGCGAGAAAAAATTGTAGAGATCAGAGCAAGAGCGGTTTCATTTGTCGTTTCTCAGACGAAAGAACGTAATTCCATTACAAGGTTGCAAAATTGCCCACAAAAATAAACGTTTAACGAGAATATTACTCGGGCTGCGTTTAACAGAAAGGAACCAAGCCACATCAGCTATTGCCAAAAATTAACTGGGCAATTTAATTTTTTACAAGGGACGTTTGTGCGGATTTCTTTGAAATTTTTAAGGAATTGGCGTCGTACTATGCAGGGAATTCACTGAAATTTACACACAAATCCGGACAACTGTTTTCATGTAAAAAATTAAATTGCCCGGTTAAATTTGGCAATAGCTAGTGTGACTTGGTTCCATTCTGCTTAACGCGCCCACCTAACAGTTTCCGCTCAAAATTTTGCTGGATTTTGCGCGCCATCAAAAAAAAATCTGTGGAACTCGCAGTTAGAAACGCCCAATAGTTCTGATGCAGAAATACAATTTAAAAGTATAAATCATGCAACGTTGGAATTATGTCAGGCTCCATCATTTGAAAAATGACGAATCATTGCATTACAACGGCACGACGTTTTTCCTGTTGAATTATGTATTTCTTCGCATATTTTATACTGGGCATTCAGCGACTTTTTGTTGGGTCACGAAGAAAATTAACTCTAAAAAGAAAATTTCCAGCCGCTATTTAATAGAATTATGGATTCTCAAGCAAAACTTTGCAAATAAACAATACGATTAAGTTCTTCTTATACTGATCCCCTCAAATTTTGGATGACAATTTTTAGCCACGAGCCTCTCGTCGAAGTAGTGACATTCATTTTTAATATTATTTACAAGTTGTTGAAGAACATGCATGTTGGTGGAAAATCGTTAGATATAAATACGATTTTTTGTCATTGACCTTTGAAAAGCAAGTACCGACTTTTTCATTTGAAAATAATTATCATTTTCCTGAATTTAAACTCTACGGAGAAAGAATTTTTTTTTAAAAACTTCAAGATAACTGATTGCTTTGAAAGAAATATATTATTCAAATTAACTTGTTTGCTTCAATTTCATGGAAGTAATGAAATTGACATTTTTTTCCCCCCTCCGTCAAGGCTAATGAGGATTTTTTCTCTTTTCCTCTATTTTTTACCAGTATTTCAGTTCCTACGACCAGCGGCTGGTCAAAAAAGCGCCAGCTATCGTCCTGTAGTTACGATAACTGTCGCACAGTAGCGGGCCCATTTTTAAGCAGCCACTGGTTGTGACGACTGCGTCCTATTTTTTTCCAAGTAGGGTTTGTTTAGAAGAAAAAAAAAGTAACATGATTACCACGATAGATTTTCTGCACCATTCTTAAATATCTGACGAGGAGTATCCAATATTCACGTTTTCCTACAGAGATCGAACTTTTTTTCACTCTTGCTTTACACAAAACGAATAAACAAACGACAGTGATGAGTAAAGGGCAAAAATGGTACCTAGACCTCCAAGCATGAACACCGAGATTATTACCACCCCCAAATCCCGCACAACACAAACTGAGAGCTAGTCTTCTTGTCACTATTTGTTTAGCACATTTTGTCACCTCTTCAAGGAACAGTGTCACCACGCTAACTTATGCGCAAAATATCTTCAGCACTTTAACACCCTCATTGTGGGTTGGTTAGCAAACTATCACTGGAGGTGTTCATCTGGGTTTATAGAAGGTTGTAGTTGAAACAAGGCCGTAAGTTGCGGAAATCTAGAGGAGCAGTAAAACTTTACCGTAAATTCAACGGGTTTTTTGCAAAACTGGCGACGGATCTGGCAACCTCTCTCTCGCGGACAAATCCTCTAATGGACTTTCAGTTTCAACCCTGCCGGCTTTCTCCTCAGTGATCATTGGCCTCGGCTCGGCACCAGGGTTCCTCTTCAAAATTACCTCATTTTTAGATCACTTTTCGACACTACCGTGTATTACTCTGGCTTTATGTAACTCACCAGCGTGCCGAAAACAAATAATCACGCGACTACTGGGCTCCTGTGGTATATTTGGGTGCACCACTGCACCACGGCACGTGCACTTATTGGTTCTTGATTCCGCTGATATTTCTCGTCAAGCTCCGGAAAAAAAGCTTGTATCGAATTTTCCTGTAATGTTTCTCGAAGAGAAAGTTTATTCGTTATTATTTAAACCGATCGAGGCCTTCCGCCCATAAGTGGAAACATTTAAATGAAAAAAACGTGAGCCAAAGATGCATATTTTTTTTTTATAATTTTATTTTTTACGGGTGCTAATGCATTTCAGGAATCTACTTCCCATCTTCAGAGCATTACCTAAATTACGTTTGGTGGCTACATTGTTAAGTTACATATTAGAAAAATACACTTACGAAACAAAAGATAAACAGCAAGTACAGCAAAACAGGATAGTAACAAAAATTGAAGCATTGAAAGAATCTCCGTCCATTTACTCGTATAGATTCCTGGGCTGTTATAATGATAACAAGCATAAAAACAAGAAGGAAAGAATACATGGGAAGTAGATTCCTTAAATGCATTAGCACCTGTAGAAAATAAAATTGAAAAAAAAATTGTGCATCTTTGGCTTACGTTTTTATCATTTATCATTATATATAGATGCAACGTGCGACTGAACAACTTTTCACAATGTACCTCTAAAACCTTGGGAATTACCTCTTATTGCTTGTCGAGTTACGTATGTGAGCAATGCGTTTGTCATGTGAACCAATATTTGGTAATCTTGTAGGGCGTACCGTTCAACTCGTAGCACATGCGCCAAAAGGGAGGTCAAATGAGCTTTTTATAACTACTGGCCATAAGTAAATGTTGAATTCCCAAAAATGAGTCTTCATGGTTTAGCAATCTTGGATTTGGTGGATTTTTTTACATATTGCCAACCTTCTTCACAACAAAACGAAATTCCCTCCTGACAACGGTGTGCCTACATTTGATTTTCATGCTGGCAGCAATGACGACCACATCCAAGATTTTCGATCCACCTCTCGAGGTGGGTCGGAAAGAGGGACCCGAACTTTGGCCAAAATTCAAGTATAGAAACTGACTTCAGCAGAGTGTTTTTCTCCTTTGGTTTGCAACCCTGCCGACCTGGTTGAAAAAGTCGCCCAAATCTTTTTGCTAAAATTCGGCTTTTGTTTTTTGCTTAATTCCAATTGCTAATCAATCATCAATAGGCGGTAAATAAGACATTCGAGGTACAAGGCGCATAAGTGCAGTTTTTGAAAAAAAAATGAGATTTTAATAATTTCAAGAAAAACTAGTCTTACTGTATATTCTGTGGAAAATTCACTCTCAAATTCCGATTTTTAAGCTTCAAAAAGTAAGTTTGAACTTTCTTTCCTTCATGAGGATTCATGCAATCTCAAAACTTCAAACATACATATCTCGAAATAGCAAAAACCGCACTTATGCGCCTTGTCCTCCAAGCATCTCAAATAGGATTGCCTCGCGAGTTTGGTATTTACCACAACCGATTGCATCGCTTGCATCGTTGATAAGAAGGCTCTAAAATTCATTGTTCCTGATTAGAACTCAGTACTCCCATTCCATGTCCGTCAACTGAGATTCGGAACTTTTTTCTCCCAATTTCTCCCACTCCATGACCGTTAAAGATCCGGAACTCTTTTTAGAATTTTTCAAACATAAATGTAAAAGATCCGGAACATTTCGGGAATTTGAACAGTTCCGGGAAAAATTCAGGAAAATCTCAAAAGTTCCGGAATTTGGTACTAGTTCCGGGAAATGGGAGCACTGTTTGAACTTTATCGTGTCGTGCCTCGTGCCCAACGACGACGTCATCAATTGACGCGATGAATGGGCGCTACCCCTGTATTTCCTCAGCGAAAGGATACTGTTTCCCCAGCGCGGTGGCAAAAGCGTTCGCAGAATCGTGGAAAAATCTGATCACGCTGAAGAGCGGCGCGGCGGCCGAAGCTGCGGGAAAAATCAGTTGGATGGGTCAAGAGCGAGTTCGCGGAGGGAAGCACCAAGGGGGGCCCGGAGGGGGGCGGGGGGCCCGTAACACCCGAGCACGAGTTTCACGCGTGGTTCGCCGACGCAAATTTGATAGCGAACATCTCGCCGGAGTCTGCTGATTATTTTTTTCGCGAGGTTAATTGATTCTTATCCCTCGTCAGCCCCCTTTGACACCGGTCTCCTTCCACCTCGCCTCGTAGCGTTCAGCCGGGGGATTTTGAACGGACAGGTGAAAGCGTCTCTCCGTTGCCATCCGATCGACTGGAGACTTGGCGAATATTCGAGATCAAATATGTCGTACATTTTTTTAAAATTAAATTCGGCTTAGGAGCCGCACAGTCGACCGAGTGAACGGGAGCGATCGGACGAAATTTGGAAACTTTGAAAGCTCATATCTTTGAAAATATAAAACAGGAGTTCCAGAATGGCTTCATCGATTTCTTTGTTTTTTTTTTCCAGAAACACCCCTTGAAATTGAAATTGTGACAAAATGTACATTAAAATTTGCAATTTTAGTTAGAAATTTCGTGTCCGACCCCTTCTGATAGCTCGTTCCACTGCGGGCCTTTTATTTAGGTATTACGTAAGGAACTTGAGGGAGGGAGGAGGGTTTCAGATTGTTTTACAGGGTCTTGCGAAGGGAGAGGGGAAGTCAAGTTCAGTTTTACGTGAGCCAACTCTTATTAGGTTGCGGTCCAACTTTTTAAAGAAAAAAACAACATCTGCTAATAAAAATATATATATTTTTTTTCAGGCTTCTTCCGTATTTTTCTGATATATTTGGGGTCAGGACAATTTTGCGTTCTTCAGAGGGGTAGTGAGAGGTTGTCTTACATGTGCCTTTCAAGAGGAAAGTGGACCAAAAAGTCGGCCAAAATGGCTTATGTTACACTTGAATGGTCCCTACGAACGTGCTTTCGCTTCCATTCGTCTGCATATTAGAAATTGACGAATTTCGGCGAGCAAATTTTTCAAATAAATGCAGCGCATACCAACTTTTTGGACAAAAATGCCGAAAGGAATCAAACACAGATATGACTTTTTTCACAACTTATCGCGATCATTGCTTCTTAGATAGTGTACTGTAAAAGCTAGCACTAGATACATACAGTCATCTGTTTTCATCACATATAAAGTAATCGCAATCTGTCTAGTACTCTTGTTTTCCTTAAATGATTCAATTTCATTAGTTCAGTTTTTCTTCCTTTAGGTGTCAATTAAAATTAGAAGGTCCTCATTTTTCCAAGTTCATTTTCAATTTTTTCAGCTATATGTGTGCTCCATTTCCTCAAGCTGAATTTTTCTCTTCCAACGCTTAATTTGTATTGGAAATTTCCACTTGTTTATTATTTTCAGCTTCATCCTGAGTTTATGATTTACACCGGATAAAAGTCTAAAAAAATAAGATTCTCAATCGATTTTACCGTCACGTGGAAGAGAAGCAGCAATCCATGTCACAGAGGAGCCTATTCCATGCAAATAGATTTCAAAATTTATATTCACAGTAAATAACACAGAGTTTGGATCTTATTAAAACAGAGCGTTTTCAATTTCGAAACTAAATAGCTTCATCTAATAATTTCTAAATAATGGTTTAGCTCTTTTAAGGGGTCATCGCTCTAGTGAGTGAATTAGATTGACGTTTTAAATTAATTTTCTTCGTTAACTTAACACCTTTGCTATATTCAACACTTTATAATTTTCTAAAATATCCCTGGGTTTTCCAAAAAAAGTTAATGGGATTCCATCTAAAGCCTCTTTTCCTCTTTTCTAAAAAGAGAGGAAATCATTTCAGTTGCCTCTGAAATTTAATTCAGTCTTCTTCCCGTAGAAAAAAAAAAATATCACAGGCGTTACTTATTGGAGTACTTAACAATACCGTCAAAAAAAGTCATGAAAAGGCTGAAAATGCGTGGCCATTGATGTGAAAGAAATCTAATACATAGATGTGACTTGATGACATTGTATTTTTCAGAAAGAAAATAATTTGGGGTTTTCATTAATCTTCTCACTCTGTATACCCTCACTTGGCCCATTTGCAAGCACTAGCACATGCATTTCAACCCTCTGTGCAATCCATGTAAAGCTAAAATAAACTGCTCTATATTTGTTGACGAAGAGGCACTGATTTTGACCCACATTCTAACGGAGGGAATCACACTGCGTGCTGAGTGACACATTGTTGAGTGTTGCACTGTTCCCAAGGTCTTCTTACGTTAGTCAGCATCGCATCGGAGCTGCTATGCAATACCTATTGCTGATTCGCTTGCTCTCAAATCACATAATATCATACAGATTCCTTAGAACTAGAAAGTGAGCGAAGATAATGAGAGCAAAAACAGTGTTTGGGATAGAGATGTCTATGACTCATCTTCCTTTGTTTTCTTTCGGTAATAATTGCGCATTTTCTCGCTTCCCCAGTAACTTCTTCATTTTTCTACTAAATGACCAAATACTGGATAAAAAAATCGGAATTAAATCGATTAATAAAATGACATCTCGGTGCACCAACATATTCGATTTCGATTATTTTATTTATATTTTCATAAAAAAGAAGAAGCCTACTTAATAACTTACGAATTAAACCGTGTCCTTGTGTCTATTCCTTATACTTCAGAACTTTATCGTTAAATAATATGAAAATAATTTTCAACCAACTTTTCAACGACGAAAAAAAAATGGCCGGACTAAACAGACAGTGAATCTTTAGGACCAATTTATTTCAGAAAGCTGGAACACTTGCTTGTGCGAAGCAATTTTGCTGAATTCTAGGTCAATATTCAACCTAACGAATACTTTCCCTCACATCAAAACATTATATTTCATGATACCCGTAGCAAAACAAAATTAGGAGTCATTGAAAGAACGCATAAAACTTGTAATCATGTCGTGAGGTTTTCCTATTGCACATCAAAATTATTGGTTTTCCTCTTGACGAGAATCCTAAAGTCACTGTAAATCAGGATTCTACTTTCTCCTCTGTAGACGTAATTGAAGATTGGCCTTTGGAGCCAGCATAAAACGTGTTACGTCGAATTCCATCCGTCTTGGGGTTCTGGCACTTGGATGAAAGGTGTAATTTGGTATTAGGGTCATCAACATAGTTTTGACGATCATTACGACCAGTCGATTTGCTGAAACAGATAGAACATTTTACGATCAGATCTCTCAGAAATTAAGAGAGATCGCAGAGATATATTCGAGCATTAAATAAAAATCTGGAAAAATCCTTTGATTGATTTGATGAAAAAATGATTTACTTCATCGGCATAATACGCAACGCTAAAACTAAATTAGAGCTTAAGTAAGGTGGAAGAGACAGTCAAAGCTTTAAAGTTAGTGTCTCATGCGACGGAACCTGAACGAACTCCATCATAACGTACAATTATTCTATCTCCATTGATGTCCGTGTTGCACACGCACGGAATTGAAGGCGTTTTGACTGTCCAGGCACTCACCACTTCACCCGCGGCAGACTTCAGACATCTCTCAAGACATGAGGCGCTCTACAAATCATTCACAGCATATCGCGCTATCAAAACTGAGGCACAAAAGATACTCATATCCTACGCCGGAATGTAACTATTAATGCCTGAGAGATATCTCTGCAGGGTAAACAAAGAATTAGATCGCTCTGCCATTTTTGATCCTCTTAGTAAAGCCCACATATGCAGATGGCGTCGCGTCGCAGGTTAAGTGCCGAGTGCCTGGATTGTCAAAACGCCTTCACTCTCGTGCGTATGCAACACGGACATCCGCGGAGCTCGAATAGTTGCATCCAGGAGTTGAAATGAAATTCGTTTTGTATTCATCGAATGCGACACTAACTGAAGCTTTGATTGTTTCTCATAAATCTTAACTTATTTCCAGCATTGCCTATTGTTCCGATGAAGTAAATCACTGTAAATCATAATTGATTTTTATCACGACATTGTCAATTTTCCGAATAATGCTTTGATTGTTTGAATATATGACAAAGTTACCATCCTAAAATGGGAGATGCAGCCCTTACCTTCTCTGGGCTAAAAACGACGAAAGTGGAAAAGTCATTTTAGGTCACATTAGGCAAAATTCGAGCAAGCATCTCAACACACTTGTATTTTATCTCGATGAAGAGCTAGAAAAAAACCCATTAGAAATGTAAATCGACCAACGGGTACTTTAGAACCCGCTACGACAGAGCTCAAAGGTTCTTGAAAATATTTCTTACGTTAGTGATTGCTTCCGGTTCATCTAATCGGAGCACCAGAAGACTGAGTTCTTTTAAAATAAAAAACGAATCAATGATAAAGTGTTTAAAGAAAGCCGACCTAAAGTTCTCGCATAAAATTCTAGGCAAGGCGTTGACAAAAATCAAGTAAGTGTTTCTTCTCAAGTTTTTCTTTAGATAGGTATTTGTGTTTTCAAACAGCCCTCACAAATAAAACCAAAATTTTGTTCGGCCAAGAATGAGGAATTTCAGCCCAGTAAATAGGATCCGTTGAAGACGTGAACCACTTATTGAAGCCACAAGTGGATTCCATGAGGCCTCAAAAATATCGGGAGGCGAAGGTGGCCCAAGAAATATTAATGACTTGGACCGAGAGGGAGCTGGGAGCTAAGAATGAATAACCAGGTAAAAATCAGCAAAAAAGAGACCAGGGTGCAGGTCTGTATGGCATTTCGGAACACACACGTATCCTATAGCCAATTTTTACCGGGGAAGTAGAGGGGACATTTACGGTTATATCATTTTATTAGCAGTTGGTTTTAATCAGAAAGCTCTTCGATTTGACTCTGCAACAACAATACATACTTTAAAAGCATAAATGAAAATTTCCACCTCTGCCATGAGTTAGATTTTCTTCCGACCAAAAATATAGGGCTACTTTTATGCGGCACTAACTTTCAACGAGAACTCCAAGTTTCAAGTTGATCATTTACAGCCCATAATCATAGCATCCAAATGTAAAATCTTTTGTCTTCTCTTGTACACGCAACAGCGCAGCGCCTTCAATTAGTTGATTGGACCAGATATCAGACATTGAGGTCCTCGACATTCTTTTTTAACTCGCAACGGTGAAGCGCCTTCAACTAGTTAATTAGACCAGATATCCGACATTAACGTCCTCATAACTCATTTTAATCGTTACTGTGAACGAACTTCGTTGCTGTTTTTCTTCCCTAAGAGTTGATTTAAAAAGTCTAGACCAGTTCGTTAGGACCCATTTCCACAGTTGTAAATTGATGACATTCTTGAGACAAAATCTTTTTCAACTGTGACTTTGTGCACACTCCTAGTTGGTCCACAACATAAGCAAAAAACTTTTCAAGTTTTTGGTAAACTTTCGATCCATTCAATGTTTTTTTTTTTTCTCAAGATGGATTATCAAAACCGATACTTCCAAATGTGTGCAGTATTATTCGATGTCTGGTAAAGTTCATTTCGATTTCATTCACTGCACGGAGAAAAAAAATTGTTGCTCATACAATGTTCATGGTGAATTCCAGGGTCTGCGTACGTTTTTAGCAATATTTACAATGTGACTTTTGCGTTAGTAAATATTTCGACCCCGATAACAACAGTGCATTCTTACCGGGACCGACATACTTGTCACCACGATGCCACAAACGTAACAAACAACGTAACGACGACTATAAAAAATTAGGCACCTAGGATCACTACTGGATATACGAATTTGTTTTACTGGTGCGAATTTGATTCAAGCTCCCCTTGAAAAAGGATCTGAGGGATACCCCGAGGCTAGAAAGGACATAGGGAAGGTGATCTAGGCTTGGGAAAAGCTATGGATAAACATTTCACCCATAGGCGGAGTCAGCTTTGTTGCCTATGCGCTAAAATTGAAGGCGAGATATCTGCCGACACAATTACACATCGTTTATTGGTTCCGTGAAAGCATGCAGCGGGCACAAGACGATTATATATTTTCGAATAGCTCTCTATTCATGCTCCCCGGTAGATTTGATACCTATCTTTACTCTTCGGTACATTTTCCCTCCGTTTTTCACCATGCTTTTTCCTCTCTCTGATATTAGTGTCTTCACTGTGATGACGCCAATGACCGCTATCTATGCTGCCGTGCTAAGGAAGAACGCCGTATGAGCCATTAGGCGTTGCCAAATTTCCCTCGGAAGAAAACGAATTTTTAGGAACATTGAGAATATTTCTCCTACAATTTTTCAGGGGATTCTGTTTGAAATTCGATCTAAAAAGTTTTTTTTAACCATTTTTTTCTATTCTTGATGTTTCGTAAGCCTTACTCACCAATGCAGGACCTTGGTCCGTCGCCGAAGGGCAAGTAGGAGCCGGGAACGATTTTGTCGAGATTTTCCCGGGCGAAACGATCCGGGTCAAAGGTCTCCGGATCGGGGAAATACTTGGGGTCGTAATGAAGGGCTAGAATCGAAATGAAGCATGTAACATCCTTCTCGACCACAACAGTGGTATCCGGAATCTGGAACGGCTCTGTGCAACAACGGCCAATGATCGCACTCACTGGATACTTCCTCAGCGTTTCTGAGGAGCAAAATCCAACCCAAGAGAGGAATGCATTCTTAGAAATTAAGTATGTAGAATCAAAAAGGCACGACAACTTTCCAACTTTAGAAGAACTGTAATATTTTTGGCATGCACTGGAAAAAAAGTAGCTTGAAACAAATCAAAATCAGCTTGAAGCAAGCTGGAAAAAATCTTAAATTTGCCGCCAAGAAACGTATGGCTTGAAATAATCATGGCCGTGCTGCTTGAAATTAGCTACCCGGCGGAATCTTAATTATTTTTCGTTTAATGCTCGGATCCAATACTAAATACTGAAAGTTTTATTCATTTTTCATAAAATTCCGTAACGTAGGGATAAAACGTTACTGATTCTTCGACATGGATCATGTTGAAGTCGTCGTGCGTTGCCGCGGGTTTTGTTCTCGGTTTGCAGCACTGTTAAAATGCGCGGGTTTTGGAGATCTCCTGAAATGACTTGAGAATGTAGGAATGTATAACTTAATGCCCGTGTCGAAAATAAAGGCGGAGTGGACACAAGCCAATGGAGACTGAATTCAAGAAGTTGGCTGCAAACTTAATTTAAGTCTAGTTTTTTCAGCTATTTCAAAGATTCGTGTCATGCTTGAAATCAGGAATCTTGAATCGAGTATACATTATCTTGAATCAAGAAACAACTTCTTAAAATTAGCAGCCATGGTGGCTTGATGTAAGAATCAGCAGGTTTGACTCAAGATTTTTGTGCTGCTTAAATCAAGCTAGCAGGTGATCCAAGCTATGAGGTAGGTGCAATTAAGAATCTCGAATCTTGAATTAAGCAATGAATTGCTTGTTTTAAGATAAAAATTCTTGAATCAAGCTGATTTTTTCTCAAGATTCCGAGACGGCTTGACCGTAGCAGACTTTTTTTTTCCAGTGTGGTCAATTTTTTGGCGCTGAAGCTTTTTCAGATTCGAGTAATCGAGCCTTAAAATTTCAAAGTCTACATGATTTTGTGGATTCTTAAGGGAAATATGAATTTGTAACTTTTTCTCAACATAAAACGTCAACACTTAACATCAAACGTCGTTCATCCATGTCTTCGTCTCATTAAATTTGACACCGTTTTGACGGATCCTGCGGGCTGATATTTGAAATTAATAGACAAAGCTATAGACAAAGACGACATAAGGAGTGTGGAGCGATCCTAATGGTTGAAATGGGTGGTTCTTATAGACTAAGGGAAGAACATTATAGACTAACTAAAATATCTCTCGTGGGTTGCCGTTAGTTAGTCTATTGCCTACCTCCTTTGTTCATTACAACCATCCGCTCCCATCACAAGGATCCCTCTATATCCTTTTTTATCATCTTTGTCTATCGCTTTGTCTACCCATTTCAAGGAACAGCCCGCTGGGTTCCTGGGAACACAACTCTCCAAAATGACTCTTACCACTGATGACCTGCTCCATGAACTGGAGTTTCTTCGTGTCCTCGAATGAGATCCCACCCCCTGCTTTAGCGTGGACCCGATGGACTTCTTGGAGAAGTTTGTGCTGGATCTCCGGGTGAAATGCCAGCTCGTAAAGACAGAAGACAAGCGTGGAGGCCACCGCTTCGTAGCCCACCGAAAGGAATGAGCTGATCACTCCTAACATGACAGTCTCCGTCAGGATTGAGCCGGTGGCTGCAGAGTCTTCATCAGTCTTAGCTCCACTTTGTTGCTCCGAGTCTCGGAGATTCATCAGAATTTGCAAGAAATCCTTACGATTCGGCTCCGTATCTTTTCGTTTCATTGCCTCGACGTCTTCGATGATCGACCTGAAAATCAATGGAAATTTTGATCACGCCTACGCCTCAAGCACCCCCCGTCCCACATTGAGCATCGAACATGGACCAACTGAGACCTCCTCATCATCACACCAAACAGTTTAAGGTGATTGGACGCCATATTTTGTGTCATTGGTTCCATTTTTTCAGCTGCTCGTCATTTTGCTCGAAGTTTGAGATCGCAATTCTGTTGTCAGGAGACTTAAGAATTCACTCACCAATTTTGCCAAACAAATTCAACGTAATATAGGCGTGGTTTCTTTAGAAGGAAAATATGGCATTCGAGTGCAGTCTTGATATCAGTTTCGAATGCGAACCATGAAACCATGTTCAATGGTATTTTTCCTCTAAAAAAACCACGCCTTTATTAAGTTGAATTTGTATGTTTTAAAATTGGTAAATGAATTACTTAGTCCTGACAACAGAACTGGGATATCAAAATTCGAAAAAAATGGCAAGTAACTGGGAAAATGAAACTAATCAATGCGATATATCGCATGTCACTCTGACATAAAATGTAGGGTCAATCGAATCACCTTAGGAACATAGAGCCTGTGAAGCATTCCAATGTCGCTAACCTTGCAAACATAAACGATCATCTAAACTAGTTTCACCTCTACTCCCAGTAAACTATGAATTCAAGACGAAAATTACCGTCACAAAGTTTACTTTTTGCAAAGAATGTACCTAAGTTGCACAATCCCAGCAACATTGAAATGCTCTCAGTTCCTTTTTGCAAAATGCGATCCAATTGGTTGTTGCTGCAAAAAAATAGTTTCCCACAACCTGCTATACAATGCTCCAGTGACCATGTAAGTTGGCCCGAGCCCTAACTTTTCAGGAAGAAAGCCTTTCCCCTACCTGGTTTCTCACTTAATATCCGCCCGAGTTACGCATATCTTCCGTTTCTCCTCATCGCAGCTTCCATCAAACCGCAATTGCCCGGAAACTAGGACCGCACATCTTATCTGATAAAATCGTTCGCCCTTTAGACCGATTCTGGGGGGTTACGCTAGACTAGTCGACGAGTCAACTGTTGATCTAATTTCATTACTTGAACGTAGAAGAAAAACGGAGTAAAAAATCACTAATGTGTGATCAATTTTCAAGGACAATTCTGTAATTTCTCCTACGATTTTAAAGAGATTAAAACGCGTAATACCGAAAATCTAAGCTCAGATTCGGATTCCTCGTGAAAAATTGATGAGATTTTATGCATCTTATATGTTAGAATAGCGTGAAGGAAAGAGGTTTAATGACGTAAAAAAACACTAATGTGTGATCAATTTTCAAGGACAATTCTGTAAATTGTCTTACGATTTTAAATAGATTAAAACGCGTAATATCCAAAATCTAAGCTCAGATTCGGATTCCTCGTGAAAAATTAATGAGATTTTATGCATCATATGTTAGAATAGCGTGAAGGAAAGAGGTTTAATGACGTAAAAAAACACTAATGTGTGATCAATTTTCAAGGACAATTCTGTAAATTCTCTTACGATTTTAAATAGATTAAAACGCGTAATATCCAAAATCTAAGCTCAGATTCGGATTTCTCGTGAAAAATTGATGCGATTTCATGTATCATATGCTAGAATAGCGTGAAGGAAAAAGGTTTAACGACGTGTCGTACTATTCGTTTGAACTACGCCGCCGCGCCTCGCCGGTCGCCCGAGATTCAACCGAACGGGGAGGCGCCGGCGCTTACTAAGCGTTCGGTTTCGTCCCGAGGAATTTCTCATGATAAATTCTTATTCTTCCTCCTCCACTGACCCACTGAGCACTACCCATGTTGCCACGTTGGATTCATATGCTCGAATCAGTATGTCTACGTTACGTCTCTTTCCTCCACGCTATGCTCCGGTATGATACATGAAATCGCATCGATTTTTTACGAGGAATCCGAATCTGAACTTCGATTTCGGGTATCACGCGTTTTAAGTAAAATTTTTCAACTTCAAAAACCCGAAATGACTGAAGTGGCTTAAAATGCCATCTCGGCTCCTGTTCGATGGATTCTCCTGAAATTCGGTGTCAGGGTATGATACATGAAATCGCATCGATTTTTTACGAGGAATCCGAATCTGAGCTTCGATTTTGGGGATCACGCGTTTTAAATCAAAATTTGCAAAATTCAAAAAATTCAAAATTCGAAAATCCGAAATGGCTTAAAATGCTATCTCGGCTCCTGTTCGATGGATTTTTCTGAAATTCGGTGTTAGGAGGTATTTTTCGACGGGAAACTCGAATTTTTAGTCAATTTTTAAAAATTCTCAAATCCAAGATGGCGGACGTGGCCTAATATGCTATCTCGGTTTCTATCTGTTCGAGTCTTGTGAAACGCGGTATCCCACGGTATTTTTCAACGGAAAACTCGAATTTTTAGTCAATTTTTTAAAATTCTCAACTCCGAAATGTTGGATGTGGCCGAAAATGAGCCCCGGTTCTGGCCTCCGTTTCTGTTCGTTAGAGCTTTGTGAACCGCGGGATCAGGAGTACTTTTCGACGGGAAACTCGAATTTTTAGTCGATTTTTGAAAATTCTCAAATCCAAGATGGCGGACGTGGCCTAAAATGCTATGTCGGCTCCTGTTCGATGGATTTTTCTGAATCTCGGTGTCTTAGGGTATTTTTCGACCGGAAACTCGAATTTTTAGTCAATTTTTAAAAATTCTCAAATCCAAGATGGCGGACGTGGCCTAATACGCTATCTCGGTTTCTCTTCGTTCGAGTTCGCTGAAACTCGGTATCACGGGGTATTATTCGACGGAAAAACTCAAATTCCTAGTCAAATTTCCAAAATTCGTAAACCCGAGATGGCGGCTGTGGCCCAAAATGTCATCTCGGCTCTTGTTGGTTTTTGTGAAACGTAGTATTAGGGTAACTCTTTCCAGTCATATCTTCAAAATTTAATTCCTTCAGGAATGAGATAGGAGTTATTCCTTATCTGGAGATAAGGAAGCGTGAAAGCTGTCACTTTTAGGACTCCCTTGTTGACCTACCTATTGTGTGGGTGTTTTATGACGAGTTGATCATTTTTGTCAGCAATCAAGTCGAAGTTTGGTAAACTAATCTATAAGGTAGGTCAACGGCCCACACAGTGGTGATGACTGCTGCTGTTTTAATTGTGTTTAAAAGGAGTATTGAATCCTTTAGGGTAAAATTCTCCATCCGTCGCCACGAGGAACATCTTACCTGAAGAATTGTATTATTGCAGACTCGTGCATCCTAAAGCCTAGTTTGCCTGAAAGACCAGGGCAGATAGACTCTAAGGTCCAGATGCTGAACCTGCGGAAGCTGAATTTCATCGAAAGCTCCAAGACTCGTCGGAGTTGGCACTCTGGATTCTGGATCGCGTTGCACTTGATACCCAGAGCAGAGGCTCCGATCACCTGGTAACAAAGCATGTAATGAGAAGTGTTCCATGGAGGTCGACTCCTGACCACTATACGCTGCCCAAATCCCCAACCGGCGCTTTGCGCCTTCAGAGAGCCGCCTCTCAGCGACAGAGACTCTGGTTCTAGATTGGACAATCTTGAGACCACTGGATTATCTGAAGATTACCATCTGCCCTCAGCCGAATAATTGTGGGAGTATTGATTGAAAAATTGCAAAAACGCCTACCTCTTTTGCGGTGTTTCAAAATCTTCTCCAATTTTATTTTATTAGATGGGAACGAACTGATATTGTTGCTTGACATTCTTACAACATTTTCTTCTCACAGAGAGAAAAAACAAGTTTTCAAGGAATCACGCAGTGGTAAAATAGTGCTGTCTTGCACTGATACACGATAGAACTCTGACCATAATATTTGAAAATCGTTGGATCATCAGTTGGAGTCGCGCCCTGATGATGATCCAACGAGTCGAAACGCGCGTCGGACGGTAATTTTGCTGTAATTTCGCTGACTAGTGAGTTTTTTAAAATTTTACTTCATTTTTTTTAAATAGTGTTGATTGTTTGCCTGGGAAAACTACAGGCGCATACTTTGTGTCTAAAATTATCCGAAAATAATAGTTCCTAGAGGGTATATGGTATCTGACAAACGGAACCTGAGACAGGTGGAAATGATGGGGTCCAGTGACGTCAGTGGCGACAATGGCGCCGCCTCGTTCGCTCGTGGATCGTGGTCCGCATTAACTTATGAGCCCTGTCCACAACGCTCTTTCGCCATGCCCACGGCTCACGGGTGCCGCAAACAGTTGGCGTTTAGTGCCGTTAGGTAGAATGTAAAATCCCGCTTTTACATTTCCCCAAAGAAAACTACTCCCACTTTTACATTATTTGGACTGCATTTTGCAATTTGGAACTATAAATTCTGGCTATTCTGGAAACACACTTATGTGCATTGGGAAACTAATGGCACATGCGTTGTTTTTAAACCGGGCTAGAATCTATAGGTCCAAATTGCAAAATGTAGTCCATTTCTTATCCAATTTTCTAGAGCACACCCCAATCACCCCATCTCTCCCACTCGTCCATAGTTTCGTTTAGCAGCAATACGTCCAAATGTATAGTCAGTTTATTCCATATACTTTTACCTCTCTTCTGCCATAATACAATTAATTTTTAAAAATATTCTTACTTCCATAGAGTAGTTAGACATGAGCTCGTTGAGACAAAATTCTGCCCCCTCTTGCCCCTGCTCCAAGCAAAGGCGCATAATATGAGCATCTAGTTCCCTTGCGCAATCCAGCAGTGTTTGGTACAATAGCCTCAATTTCACGGAGCTGAATGCCTGCGCCGCCTACAGCACAAAAAATTTTAAAAGCCCTTTGTAAAAAGACAGGAGTCCAAATCGTCTATCTACCAGAGACTGAAATGATAAATGGATTGCATTTCGCAGAAAGGAACCAAGAGAAATTCGATGTTGCTAAGAATGTGCTCCTTACATTTTCTGCAATTAAAGTACTGAAATCTTGCAAAAAATTAAATTTATAAGGTAGTTTTCATTTCACAGTTATAGTTGATTATGAGTGAAGATAAAATCTGTTTAGGTGGTTAGTTTATATTTGCAAGGTAAAAAAAAGTTGCATAATCGTAGCGATATTGGAACACTCAGGGTTCCTTTTTGCAAAATGCAATCCAAATGTGACCATGACCCTCTCCCTAAAACTGAAGTCAAAAACCATGAGTCAAATGTAATCATTGAGCGGATTTAACCAGAATCTTTCATACTGCATTTCACGTTGCCCGATTTTCTATTCAATGGCAAGACTTTTTACGAGAATATCAAGGAACATGAAATTTTGAAATTTTCTAAAAATGTACCCAATATTATGATTTGCAACTGTAATCAGTCATACTTATTGCAAATCGCATATTTCGTCGTTCGCGAGGGACTAAGAAACTTTTCCAAGGTCACAACTTTTTGTCATGATTAGACCAACCCAGCCCCTCCTCTGGTCCTCCCCAAAAAAGTTTTTACAATAAGCCCTTCCCCGCAACTTAGCCACATTCGCAGTCGCACTCATTGCAAATCGTGTTTTTCATCAATCGAAGTTACAGGCATAGCACGAATGCGTGCTGTTAAAGTATTTGAAAATTTGTTCCTAGGGGCACAAATTAATGTATAATTTTACGTGATTTGCAAATTTTTCACTCAAAAAATATTTAAGGCCTCTCTTTTGCAGCAAATTTACCACCAACAATGTTGTTTCAGCTTAATAGCTGGAAGATTACATGTTTATTGCGTAAAGTACCGATTTTAATAAAACAATCGTCATTTCGTGGATATGCACGACTGTCATTTAGTGCAGGGGTCAGGTATCTTGCTAAAATCAAAAATACAAGATAAAAACTGATTGTACCGTTGGAATCAGTATATTCCCTGCTTTAGTTTAAACCCAGTTTGTTTACAAGTTCAATCGAAATGCAGGAATCACTGGAGGGACTTTAACACGGCGCAGAAAAGTAGGCGATTCGACGAATGGGAGTTACTTGCCGCATGAAGACATTAATAATTATTTAAAAATTTGATCGTGCTGAACCACTCGAGGAATCGCCAAGACGGCAAACTAAGGCAGTAAGGATCACTTCAGAGACTTTAACTCAGCGCAGAAAAGAAGCCGTACCGACAGATGCGAGTTAGACGCATGGAGACCTTATCAATATCCAATATCATTTGAACGTTTGCTCATGCTGAACCATACCAGAGGTTTTTAAATCCTCAGTAGCACATTTGTTCCTTTCCTGAAATTTCGATCTGCAAAAATGTGATTTGCAATGAGTGCGACTAGTTATGGCTGCAAATGTGGTAAAGTTCCGGGAGGAGGGGGGTGGGCATTGCTAATCACAAGTTTTCAGATCTTTAGCGGCAAGTTTTTGTGCCTCGCGGGTCAATTCGATCGGCAAAAACGCAATTTGCAATGAGTACGACTGATATTAGTTACGAATTCGGCTACATTAAAGCATAATAAAGAGAAGACCTCTACTTGTGTTGAATTAAAGTATTTTCACTGGCCGCTACACAAATATTCCGCTCATGAAAAATTACAAGGTAAACTCACAAAAAATGGTGAAATTAGAGGAGACGAAAATGAAAATGCTCAATCCGGAACTTTAGAAAATTTTGAACTTTTGATGGGATTACGACTAGTGTTCATCTTTTTTACCCTAAAAAAATATTCCCTCTGGCAGCAAACGATTCCGGGGGCATTATTTCTTCGAGCCACCCTGCTAAACATGCTCATTGCTCATGGAGCTGTTTTTGCACTTTTCACTGTTCAATGGACCACCGGACATGATGGGAATTTAATCATTCTGATAAATGCTTCCTAACCAGAATTTCATGTAGAACACGATGTTTGCATTGAACATTACTGAAATCAACTCCTAACTAAGATATTACCGTTTTTATATTACATTGGTCACGGGAAATTTTAATAGCCCGTTCACATAAAACGCAATAATCTATGTGAGTCAAATCGCGCATCACAACAATTGGTGGGTTTTTTTAATCGAGCGGCGTTCCTTTCCCTTCCTGTGTTGTTTAAAGTGTTAACAACGTGCAACAGCTAAATCGAAGCACTGAAATCAAAATTGCGATATTTTCATACCACGGAGACTGTTATGGTATACCGTTTAGTGGGCGATTTGACTTGCGTAGACCGTTGTGTTTTCATGGGCGGTGGGTATTTAAATTCACGCGCTAAGAGACATTGAATACCTTGGTTAGAGTTAATTTTAGTAATTTTCGTTTCGGTAAACTCGTGTTCTGTGTAAAATTCTTGTTAAGAGTCATGCATTAGAATGCTTAACTTTGCACTTTGTCTAGCGGTGCATTTGAAGAATTGAGGTATACCTTTTGCCGCACTTGATTCCAGCGGGGGCCGCGCTGGTGGACAAGGTCCCAGTGCACTGGGTCGTTCTCGCTGAGCTCCATGTTGTGCCGGTCGTGGAAATTGGAGAAGTTGTTGACGAGGACGGATCGTATGAGCTCGGGGTCGCGGAGGACGAGGCTCGGGCGCACCATCTGGAACGACCCTCCAAACTTGTGCCCGCGAAACGCATCGTGCATCTCCATGAATATCATCCATACATGAGTCCGCCCCAGCCACAACTTTACCGACTAAAACACAAGAATTTCACTCAGATTTATCAAGGCCGCGTGGGCGTACAAGTCCGGGGAGGCCTGGCCCCCCTAAAATTTATAAACCTCGTAACATCCTTTTTTTGTATTTGTATTTTTAGTTACTTTTTTTTGCAGCAATGTATCATGGTAAACCCTTTTAATGAGCCCATTCAAAAGTTTAATTGCTGAATGTTACTCCAAGTTTGCAGAAATGGTTGCCTTCATGATGTCATGTTAAAGACTTCCTGAGAATGTTAACCATATGGCGCCTCATTGGAAGAAACCCCTCCCCCCTCCTTCATACTGCATCGAGACTTTAAGAAATACGTCTTAAATTTTTCAATGTAATTCAGTCATTCCTCTCAAGTCACGTTCAATCCAATTCGTATGCATCTTAGCGAACGATCAATGCGCGGCAATGATAGAAACGCCTTGAGATGCAACTATAACTGTTTTGTAGTTGTGTATGTTGCATATTCATTAATGAGAAGGCGTTTTGATTTTGTCGCGTTGACTACGAACTATAGCGCTACGAATTCCACGATCACTCGCGCTTCACTGTTCGACGTAGAGCAAGAAGGAAAGACGGAAAACAAAGCTGAAATACTACAATAAACAACCCGAGATGTTTCGACTCAAAACTGAGTCATTTTTAGTTGGAAAATACATTAAAAATTAATTAATTGATGATCATCAATTCATTGATTTCATCATCATCGAATCATTAATTTCATGGATATTTTTTTAATTTTTATTGTATCTTCCGACTAAATATGACGAGTCGAGACATTTCGGGTTTTTGATTGTTGTATTTTGGACTTGTTTCCCGTTTTTCCCCCTTGTTTTACTCCTGTTCGTCGTATTTGACATTATTTTGTCCCGAGGAACAAAAAGAACGAGCAAAAAAATTCCCCTATCGGCGCCTCTTTAAGAGGTGCCATCTGAAATTAGTACTTCCATCGAACGACGATTGAAATTCAGAACGAACCTTGAATCTTTTGGAAAATAAATTAAAATGTTTCTTAATAGAAACGTCAACTTGATTTTCATCATTTCACCTTCCCAGAACTTTAGAGGTGCGGCTACTAATGTTCGAGTACTTTTTTTAAAAATCTTTCATGAGCGGTTTTAGAAGTTAGACAAAAATTTTCGGACAATCATTTTTATAGGAATGGCGGAAATTTTTCACATCCCATCGATGTTGTGATGTTCACGATCCCTGTTTTATTTTTCCAAATTTTTTCCATCTTTTTACAAACTTGATCATTTTCAGTCCGAGCTAAATCTAAGTTACAATCTGTAATCTCTTGCAACTTCAGTCATTATTTTTAATAGCGCTTTATCGCCCTTATCAAAAGCCTCGCTTCTCGAGCAACTTATTTTTCGTTTCAGAGTTACAGTTCTCGAGCTACAGAGCAAGAGTCAACTTGCTGGGTAACCTCCGGATGCCTCGGCCGGTGGGAACCCTCAGCTCTTGTTATGGGCCTTCTTAATCATTTTTCTTTTGCAGGAACGTTTTACTTTTAAATGCTTTGCATATTTTATTCTATTAAATATGATTATTTTGTAAGTGCCCTCTGCACAAAATTATGAAGTCCTTTTTAGACTTTCATTCATTTATTCATTTATTCATTTGAATTTTATAATCTTTTTTATTTTGAGCCTTTGTTAAGCTCCTTCATTATGTAAGCGTCTTCAACGCAATATTTTGAAGTCTATTGAAAGACTGTTTTCAATTTTTAAATATTTTTCATTTTATTTCCATAAAGGAGAATTAAAGATATATTTTGTTTGTGTGTTACTAATCCTCTTTTTGCAGCGTTGTTATTTTGTGCCATACAATGACTTCGAGGATGATCCAGTTTTGTACCTTGGATTCTAATATTTTTGGTGATGTAATTTTATTTTCTTTTATATTTTGTCCCCTTTTTCCGTGCCTTCAGCACCTTAAATTTCAATTATTAAATTCTGTCCATTTGAAACGCATTATCTAGTCTTCCATTATTTTCTTGTTAATTTTTAAGTTTTACCTTTTCTTTCCAATTCAGTTTTCTAATCAAGCTCTCCCACACTATTTTAGCAGGTGTAATTGTCCAAATACTTGGATTTTCACTTTAAGGGTGAATTTCAGAGTGTTTCGTCAATTATGTCTTAGCAACTGCTCCTCCAGTGATAAGAGTTGATTCCATGTAAGAGTAAGTCGTAAAAAAAATGAAATTACGCATTATATGGAATCGGGTCTATCTCTGAAGGAAAGAGAACCATTTACTTAGCTTTTTAAATAAGGGGTGGTTCTTACAATGTGTAGGAAATTACTTCATATACTTTTTAATACTTCTCACAACATTCAACAGCTTAACTGATACAGAAAATCATATTTGCTATTCAGTTGTACGAAATTCAAAGAACAAAAAGTTTTGGACCATTCGGTTGTGATACCTACCTGAACGAGGATTTCCCAGGTAGACATACTTGGGACTCCACGTCTTTTCCAGTATTGGTGCTTTTTGTGAACGTAGTATGAATTATACGAGACAATGCCCACCAAAACTAGAAAGAGGACACTTACAATCTCCATCGCATGGCATTAAATCTACCTGTAACAAAACAAAGACCATTCATGAGCAAAAAAAATAAAATATCCGAGCTTTTTCTTCGGTTTCGTATAAAATCTCAGTTGCATGAGCCGATGCAACAGTTCGTAGAAGCAGGATTACGGTTAAATGAAGCAAATAGTAATTACTGCAGTTATCCCGATTGCTCCGTAACTAGACTTGTTTGACGCGACTTGAGCCCTGAGCCTCATGAGAATGTATTCATGACAGGGCCTATGGTTCAATTATTACGTAACACACTTTGTCCGATTGTCGACCTCCCCTCCCCTTGTAACGCAGCCTTACACCTCCCTTTTCAAATTACGTAATGCTTTCCCCCCCCCCCTTGTAACGCAACCGTAACGCAGAACTACCCCCTTTTGAATTACTAAACGCTTGCATCCTCCTCCCCCCAATTTTCAAAAAATCAAGAAAACGCTGAGTAAGCAGCTTGAAAGTTTTCTTTGTCGGAGTTATTTCGCGTTGTGTCGGCTGGGTCACGCACTGAAAAGATTCATTCGGAAAGGGCGGGATTTTCACTTTTTTGCACGTTTTTTCAAAAAAAATTTCCGCCCGGTTCGGATTTGTTAAGTAACGCTGGGCTTGACCAATGACCCCCCCTCCCCCCCCATTTTAACACGCCGTAACGCTTGCGCAAACCCCCCTCCCCCTAAGTGCGTTACGTAATACTTGAGCGGCCCCTATGTCACAACTGAGAAAGTTCCTTCGTACGTAAATACGTCCAAGTTGAGGTACTTGACCTTTCCGTAAAGCGTGACGAACGAAGCAGAGGCATTCGCATCATCGATGATGGAAAGTAGGAGGATGTTTACGACGAAATTAAAATAGATGCCGGAATCACACGCTGAATTTGGCAGCTGAATATGGAAGTTAACAGTCATCGCTCAACAGCGGAAATTTCTCAAATTCGAGTTATTTTCATCCAGATGTGTATCAAATTTATTCGAAAAGTTCAGACAAATCAGACATTATCCGATGGTCTCTGAAAATCGTAGCTGAATTTTGCGCGACACGCGCAAAATTCAGGCACCGGGTCGCTGACTCCCACATTCAGCGTGTAATTGTGGCAAGAGATAGAGTACATCGCAAAAAAATAGAGGGGAAAAAAGAAGGGGAAAAAAGAAGGGGAAAAAAACAAATTCCAGCTGCCGACAAGCGAGAGGTGAGTTTTCAAAAAAAAAATGCACAGTCTTCCCGACACGATGCTGATGAGACCGTGTCTCGTTATCGTGCTCATCGTGGCAAGTTTCGGTTCAAAGGTCACCGCTCCGAGGAAGCCAGCCAGTGCCTACGGTCAGCACCGGGACTATCTTATCCCACGGCACCAGCAGCGCAGGAGCAGAACTCAACCCCGCAACATCCCCCCACCCCCACCACCGAGTCCGCTCGAATCGGTGGGCTCGAATTATTCGGACTACCCATCCAAGTTGCAGCGACTGGCCAAGTCTTTCATTAGGTTCAACCGGCATGAAGCGACCCAGGTCAAAGTAGATATGACGGTGAGCACTTTTATACTCGTTGATACCATACATACCAATTTTTACGAAGCAGCCCAAGACAACGGCGACAGGAGGAAAACGAGGGGAAAATCGGGAAACGAGGCTAAAATGCAACGATAAAAAACCCGAGATGCTTCGTTAGTTTTTCGTTAGTGTTTCCCGGACCTTGGCTGGCCACAAACATACGTACTGGGTACTGCCGTGCTAAGCAAGAACGTCGTAAATCCATCAGAATTTTCCCGTGTTTTCTGGAACTTAACACTTCATTAAAATAAAAACTGTTTTACACCTCAAATGTTCAAGGTTCTTTTTTTTAAGGTCTTGATAGTATTTGCGAAAGAATTCTGTAAAAAAAAATTGTCCTAAGGTACACAAGTTTTTCTGCTATAATACATTGTTCCCAAAAAATTAGAATGGCATTCACGGCGTTTTTGCGTTGCACGGCAGTGTAGGTCTCAGCTTTTTCCATAGATATTTTTTCATTTTTGATATTTCTGACTGAAAATGACTCAGTTTTGAGTCAAAATGTCTCGGGATTTTTTTTTGTTGTATTTTAGCCTTTTTCTCCGTTTTTCCCAAGTTGTTTTTTTCCTGTTCTCGTTGATACTTGGACTACATCATTAGTTTAGAATATGACAGTTTTTTTAAGTAGTTAATCTTGATCTAGAGAATACATTTAATGTGCCTTGAAAAATGAAGTCTCTTGTATGTGAGGTCAAGAGATGTTGAATGTGTTTTAAAAAAATTTCGAATGAATCTACATAAAATAAATTAAATAGAATAAAATTAATAAAAATAATTAATGGCAAATAAATTAAATAGATGCAAAATAAATACGCAATAAGAAAAATAAATAAAACAATAAGTGAACAAATTAAAAACAGAAATAAAGCAATAAAAAATTAATTAACTGAAGAAAAAGAATAATTAAAATATTGTTGCATGGACTTATCAAAAATTACTATTTCAGTATTATTACATATTGTTTTTTCTTCATGTGAGTTCAAAAAATGTGAGTAAGTGTATGAGTTTTATAAATGTTTATAAGTTTTTTAGAGTAATTCAAAGCTATAAACTTGGCAACGCTATTTCACCACCAATTAATAAATCAATGCGCATCGCTTGAAAATAAAACATCAATCTCCATCGGGAAGAAAAAGTGAGTACAAAACCCCTTATCAATCAAGCCCGATAAAATGACAAACCAAAACTTCAATTAATAAATCACTTTTTGAATATAAACTTACAAAGACAAATGGAATATACGGTGGATTTACGCCTCAAATGTTAATGAAATATCCACGTAAGTCGCTTTTAAAACAAAGAACCTATAATTCAACATTTTAAAGTTCAAATGTATACCTTTGCAACGGTATATCGTTTAAACTATACTTGCACTCTTGGTACGGTCACCAAGTTCGTTTTTTGATTAAGATGCTTGATAAAATGATCATTTTTCGGTGGTCTATAATGTTAACTTTGCAACGTTGTATATACAGAATCAGTAGTAGTACCCGTATCGATACAAGCATGCATTCAATATTAACACCAACTGTTGGTAAAATGTCAAAGAATATCATAAAATACCCAAAGCAGTGGTTTTTTTAAAATAAAATTCTTGAAAATATGAGACGTGTGCAAATTTGCAGCGCTTTATAGCGAAACCAGACGTATACTGAAGCTAAATTTTTTCCGGAGGCTTGTTTCTCTGAAATAAGGATTCATTTATTTAAGCCACATACTAATGAAGCCCCTGAGTTCTCGACGAGGGGCCACTTTTGGGAAGGCTCTTCATTTTTTTTTTTTTTTTAACAATTCGTTGTACCATTCACCGTTAAAAAAAAAACACAGTTATTCTACCGTTACAACGGTAGTAATGTCACGCGGGATTCCACGGTAGTAGAACCGTGGATTTTGATTCTTGTAACGATGAGCACGGTGTTATGACCGTGTTCACCGTAATATTACTGTGAGCACAGACATACTATCATGAGCATGGTTATGCTACTGTGCTCATCAATAATATTACCAAAATCCACGGTTCCACCACCGTCGAATCCCGTGTGACATTATTACCGTGCGTTACATTATTACGAGTTGCCTTTGTTTGGATTTTTTCCTCTTTCTGGGAAAATATTTTCGACGTATGAATGGAAAATTTTCAAAGAATAATCCCGGAAGCCGACCTAAAGTCCCTCGTATTAAGTATTAGTTAGAGTGTTATCAAAATGCATGTATGTGTTTTTTCTTAATTTCCTTTCATTTACGAGCATAGGGTTTTGCGCTTTTTGGAGTGAGTCGCGCGACACTCCCTTTGCGCTATCGGGCTCATTTATCACTTTTTGGGATTGCAATTTTAGATGTTGCACTTTATGTCATCAATGATGAATGAACTTTACACATTATGGTGAAAGAGTGAACTCCAGAGCTCACCCTGATAAAAAATTGGCAGTAGAATCTGTGTTCCAAAATACCATAGACCTACAGCCGGCTGTAAGATTTTCAATAGCTTCTATAGCCGGCTACAAAATTTCTTATAGCCTTTTATAGCCGTTGGCGATTAAGCAACAGCCAGGCGATAAAGTGTATGCTAAACGTTACTAATTAAGGATGCTAGGACTTAGTGAGTTTTTGGAATACTGCTCTCTTCTTGGGCCGTAGTATCTTGATTTATTTTGCGAGGAAAGCTCCGTACTTTTGATGGATGCCTGTCATTACTAATATAATAGAGCGCCTTCAGTTTCGTATGATACTGTGCAATACCTCTGGTGTGAAATAGTTGCTTCAAGCGCCGTGGCAGGCGGGCAGCCAGCGCGGAACACGCATTGGCGCCTACAAACCTAACAGGGATACTTCACACGTTGCGCATTGCGTGAAGTATCCCTGTTGGGTTTGTAGGCGCCAGTGCGTCGCCGCTCCGCTTTGTGTTAGGCTCTAATATTTAATCTGGTGGAGTCAGCGTTATTCAACTCATGATTTTGAAATGTTTGCACATTCTGCATGGATTATTCTCATTTTAATTGATGAAAAAAAATATGTATTATAAAGGAAAATATAATGTGTGTTTTGTAAATATTAAGGTGGTTCTGTATCAAACTTAATGATTTCCAAAGCACACGAATTTCTACACAATTTCTTAAAGCCTTTTATAATCGATGGCGAAAAAGCAACAGCCAGGCGATAAAGTGTAAAGCCCGGCGATAGGAACTATAGCCCGGCTGCATAATTTTTTATCGCTTCGTATAGCCCGACCCTATGATTTTCTCCGCATTCTACAGCCAGTTATATGATTTTCTGTAGCCTTCTTTAGCCGGCTATAAGAATTCCTGTGGTATTTTGAAACGCAGCTCTTATCGCCAATTTTTACCAGGGCAATTTTTCCCGGGGTATTCACACGGAGACTAGTTTCGGTAAAAATACTATAATTTCGATTTTTTTTTAAAAATAAAAATTGACTTAATCTTTCCTCTGTGCTATATATTTTAAATTATCAGCAATAGAAAAATAATTAAATTTACATTGTCTATTGAAACAAGATAGGGGAGGCACACAACTCGTGATCTTCTCCCAACGATCGATGGAATTTCTTTTCAGGTGGGAGAAGTGGCACAATTGCTGCAAATGATGTACGCCGTGGTGCAAAATGACGAATGCGCCAATTTCAGTTTCGGTTTCCGGACGGGTTACTACAATTGCGTTTCCATGTACCGACTATTCAAGCGAGTGCCCATTGAGTACCGGGGAGCCTGTGCGAATGCTTACCTTGCCGGTTGCTATAAGTGGCGCCTGTCCAACGGCGCGAGGAAGGGATGCGCCTTCTTCATCAAGACGTCTCCTGGAGAGAGCTCCCCTGTCCAGGGCCAGTGGCAATCCATTGAGACCTGCGCAAATGGACTTTTTGCAGTTGTAGCCCCGTATTTTCAGGATACGGCTCCTCCCCCTCCTACCTTCGACTAATATGACGCCCTGTCACTCAAATGAATATAAATCAAAATATTTCTGAGAAAAAAAAATGGTCTTATAATTGTATCACTACTTTTGCCGTGAGTTCTATTACTTCTGCTAGTTTCAAGTTTTTTTGCGGCGATTAAATCTTCCACGAGAAATGAGGGAGTGCCAACTCTCTGACGGGTTGTGGCAGGGCCTAGTTTTGTGGCGGTCAGACGTCGCAGAGCGCTAGAGAGCGCTATGAAAGTGTCTCCTATTTATTTGAATATTTCCTCAAAAATCTAAGGTAAAACTATTTTTTCGCACTTTGCATTCAATTTAAATTTTTTTCCTATTGATTTATCGTGACCTCTTCTACATGATAGGAATACACACCTTGTGCATAAAGATAGGATAAATAGAATATTCACAAACGACCGACTAACTTGTATCTTACTTACATTATTATTTAGCGAAGAATATACCTATTGGTCTAATTCAATTTTTTTAAAAAAAAAAAAAAAAAAAAAAATCTTAGACACCTGCAAGTTAGGATCCTGATTTTAAGTCCAGAGTAAAAAGAGCCATGAAAAGAGCCCGAGATAACATAGTTTTTTTCTAGAAACTTGTCGCCACTGTTCCATCCATTGTTCTAATTTAAATGAAACCAGATGAGCGAGAATAGTTAGATCATATAAAGTAACGTACCTAATAAGGTTGCAAACTTTAGTGAAATCGCGTGGTTCTTCAACTTCCCACTGAACAATGCACACAGGTAACCTGAGCTACTATCAAAGGCACGTAGGAATAGGGTTGAAGGGGAGAAAATAGTTATATTTTGTATTCCTGCATGATCTCATAGATACTCAAAAGTCCACTGAGATGGGTACAAAACTGTCTTTCCTCCCGAAGGACAGACGTTTTATGTTTAAATTCTTCCTGAAATTTGATTGATGGACAAACAAAAGTCTTCCCCTCGTTAATAACGGCAAAAAGGTGAACAGATAATGGATTGCATTTAATTAATTAGCGGAGTCAGTTGAGAGGTCAGGGTTCATCATCGCCCACTCAAACAAATTACTCATTATGTTATTACACTTACATACTGCACTTTTGCACTTTTCTGAATCACACTGCTTGAGTCAATTGTTTTCACAAGAGGGAACAAGTTCATTTTCAGGTAAGATCTAGTTTGCGTGTATTTTCACGCACCTCCGGGATTATGGAAAAAACGGACTTTATCTCTTTCGAAAACAGTTGATTCGATTATGCTGATTATTGCTGATACAGTCAGTGGTGTAGCGCGCTTTGCGATATATCGATTGACCTGCCACTTATACCTTCGGAAAAGGATCGATAAACAGGGTGTCTGCAACTAGGATCTTCATAATCAATTCTCCAGCACAACTTCAAATGGGTTCAACCGATAATCGATCATTGACGCCTCGCCACCGGATGCAGCTGGCATTGTATAGATATGCTTGAGGCTTTTGAGCCACCAAAATTTCAGGTCCAAGCAAAGAGGCCTTTCTGACCTATAGATCATGACGGGGCCAGTGTTATTTATAGCGAAGAAGCGTCTTATCTCAATGTTGGAGTAAGAACACATTTCAGGATTAGCTTGTGTGCGTGGACCCGGACTCCTATTGAAAAAATTGAACAAAATAAAAATAAGTATGCAATACCAAAAGAAAAAAATTCAGAGGCCTTCCAGGCTTATGTGATCTCAGTCTATCCATGGAAATAGACCTCCAATTCTAGAACCTTCCTTGAAATCGTTAAGATCAATGGAGACTGTCTTCCTTTTTCTTCAGTATTTGGTAGGTACATTATGTCAACTGATAAAAAATGCTAAAAACTAATATGGAGTAAGAATGAATCGAATTCCGAGTTTACGTGAACACCCAGCGCGTCGAAGAGGTAATTACTCAAACTGCAAACTTATGATGGGATCAAAGTTAAGTACAGTGAAATACCCTAAAAGACACGTGAAATTTAAATGCATACTAGTCCATCAGGCGCCTGGTAGCTAAAAATGAGGCTACCTGGAATTTTGGGTACACAGCGATTTTTTTGGCTTACTATATATTTTTTGGGCCGCTGAATCCGATTCTGAAGTTTCCTACCGCGTATCTGGTGAGCATTTTCCGCCATTTTGAAAAAATGGCCTAAAAAGGCCTTTTTTGCGTTTTTTTTATGTAGCGGCTACGCATGAGAAAAAATACCATATTTAGCTAATGTTTTGAATAGCTGACAAAATTTGGAAGAAAATGGTGTATACATATGCTAGGTTTGCTTAAATACTGTTTTTGGAATACTGCTCTCTTCTTGGGCCGTAGTATCTTGATTTATTTTGCGAGGAAAGCTCCGTACTTTTGATGGATGCCTGTCATTACTAATATAATAGAGCGCCTTCAGTTTCGTATGATACTGTGCAATACCTCTGGTGTGAAATAGTTGCTTCAAGCGCCGTGGCAGGCGGGCAGCCAGCGCGGAACACGCATTGGCGCCTACAAACCTAACAGGGATACTTCACACGTTGCGCATTGCGTGAAGTATCCCTGTTGGGTTTGTAGGCGCCAGTGCGTCGCCGCTCCGCTTTGTGTTAGGCTCTAA